GCTCTGCTGCCCAATTGCATGGAGTTTGGAATAATATTTTTCAAACAGAACTACTGCTATTTCAAGCAATTACAAAGCTAAAAGCAATCATTTGGGGTTGAGCAAGGGTCTTATCATGGTTTCAATTCCCTCCGGTGTCATTTTCTGTTATATTTGAGAAATTCCTCAATAAAGATGTCAAATAGAGAGCGGGCCTTGCTCCCGGGAGGACGGGGCTGGCCTCCTGCCAAGACCCAGTCAGAGGCGAGTTATCTCCACCAGAAAATAACCTCGTTCACGGGATAAAAGAAAAGGTTCAACTGTGAAAACTCGGGCAAGAAAAGAACTCTGCCGCCGTGGGCCTCGTTTCCCCTCGTGGAGGTCCCGCCAGGCCATGCTGTCTGCCAGGCCGTGCTGTCCGCCCTCCGTGCTGTCCGCCCGCCGTGCTGTCTGCCCGCCGTGCTGTCTGCCCTCTGCCCTGTGCCCAGCACTGCCCACCAGCTCTCACTCCTGAGGGATCCCCCGGGGTTCAGAAGGAAATGCTGCCACTGGACCAGACTCCTGACTTCAACTTCTAGGGAATAAACGACTAGGCCTTCAGACCAGTCAGCAGGTCCAGTGATGGCTGAAGAAGTAACAGTGGAGGGACCTGAACTCCCACAGGGTGATACGTCAGGGTCCTGGCTGAAAGGTCAGCAGTTCAAATCCACCAGTTGGTCCACGGGAGGAAGATGAGGCAGTGTGTGTCCTTTAAATGCACAGAAACCTGATGGAGGATCTTTATGGACCAGAACTGTGAACAGTGGGGTTTGAGTTAAAGTGGAAACGCTGCAGGAAAGGGAAAAATGATGATGTGACACCTTGCTGTAGACATAATCTCAGAAAGCAGGGACAGTGTGTTTACTGTATGGAAACCGAACCTCTTGAACTGCAGTCAGAAACACTGGTGCCCCATTTGGTGATGGCCGGTGTCCACTCACTGACGGCGGGTGTCCACTCACTGACAGCCGGTGTCCACTCACTGATGGCGGGTGTCCACTCACAGCCGGTGTCCACTCACTGGCGGCGGGTGTCCACTCACTGATGGCGGGTGTCCACTCACTGACGGCGGGTGTCCAATCACTGATGGCGGGTCCACTCAATGACGGCAGGTGTCCACTCAATGATGGTGGGTGTCCTGATGGCAGGTGTCCACTCACTGACGGTGGGTGTCCTGATGGCGGGTGTCCACTCACTGATGGCAGGTGTCCTCTCAGTGATGGCGGGTGTCCACTCACTGATGGCAGGTGTCCTCTCAGTGATGGTGGGTGTCCACTCACTGATGGTGGGTGTCCACTCACTGATGGCAGGTGTCCACTCACTGATGGCGGGTGTCCACTCAATGACGGCGGGTGTCCTGGTGGCAGGTGTCCACTCACTGATGGCGGGTGCCCCACTCAATGATGGTGGCCTGCCATGCGGCTTTGAATGTGCGTGGTCCAGTCTCCTGTATCAGGCTCCGGAAAGATTCACTGTGTTTCTTCTGAGTCTTTCCTCTCAGGGCTTCAACACATATTTTGTCCCATTCTGGCTACCATTCTACTTTACCTAAATATTGAAAACCTGGGATTTGCGAGCTCTTGTGGCCTAGTGGCAAGAAGCTGTACTGCAATCCCAGAGGTACATGGTTCGAATCCACCAGATGTTCTGCTGGAGAAGGAGGGACAATCTCCTCCTGTACCACCAGTCAGCTCCGATTTGATGGTACATACACAAAAAAAATAATATTTTTTTTAAACAACCCAAGTTTTCCTCAGTTTTGCTTTGTTGGCCATGACTGACCCAGTCTGAACTGGCTGGAAGTCCTGAAATTCTGTAAGAAATGGAGATTCACAAATGGCTTCACTGTTGAGATGCGTGCCTGGGTCTTGGGGTGAGGTAGAGCTGCTGGCCGGAGGCAGGCAGAACTGCATGGGAGGTGAGAATGAGAACCTTTTAGGAATCAGCGCTCCCCTGCAAGCTGAGGCCTGGGCTGGAGTTTTATCAGGCAGCACAACCACAACCCCTCCTGAGGCAATAGGGAGGGGCGGGGACTGTGGCAAATGACAGCAGAAACCCTCTCACGGCTGGGGGTGGGAGTGGGGAGTGTCGCTGCAGGAAAGATGCTGCCGGCTGCTACAGGACAGACTGTGTGAGAGATGCCCTGCGCTGGGCCCCACCTTATGGAGGTCCCGTCCAGCCCTTCCAGTGGTTGCAGCCCTCCTCTGGAGAGTTCAGAGGACCAAGGACACGTGTCCATCTTCCTAGACCTCAACATTTCCTGCTCAGATGGTCCCGCCTGCTCTCCCGTGCTGAGTGCTTGCTGCCTCTGTGCCAGCGACGTCTGTTTGCTGGGGAGCATCTGCCCTCAACTGAAAGCAGCTCACGCACGGCGGCGGCGAGAGCCTTTTCTTGGCCGCCATCTGTGTGAGTGAGAGGCACGCGGAGCACAATCTGTCCTCGGGGGTGGTGGTGGAAGCTTACCCAGCTCCCTGAGAGGAATCAGTGGAGAAAGAATTCGTGTGGAGACGGTGCTGTGCAGACAGGCTGCACCGCACTGTACACCCGTGCGCTGGTGGGGTCGGGCGTTCAGGCACCGGTTTACCTGCTACGGCTGAGAGCTCCAAAAGGGGGGTTCTATCCAGCAGGCTCGTGGCTGGCTGGGGAGTCATGTGTGCCAGACCGGCCCAGGGGGCGCGGGCAGCGGGCGCTGGCCCACAAGGTCTTGGTGGTTCATGACCCCACCTCATTGCATCTTCCTGGAAGTTCTTGATGATACTGACACTCACCATTTGGATGCTCCGTGTCAATCCTTTAGCTACTGTGCATCCACGATCTCACTAAAGCCACACAAGACCTGAGAGGAAGGAGATGACATATCCCACCCGACAGATGGGCAAACTGAGGCACAAAGAGGTGAAGTGATTGGCCAAAGGTCACTGGGATGGATACAGTGGATAACCAGTAGGGCGAAGAAGGGAGTCCCCAAAATCTGTCCTCTTGGGTTTGGGTGACACTGTTAGCTCTGGGCTGGCTGTCCGATGAGAATGTTAGTGGTTAAGTGCTCAACTGCTAACTGAGAGGCCAGAAGTTCGAGCCCACTGTCCACTCTGAGGGAGAAAAGTGAGGCAGCCTGCTTCTGGGAACATTTACAGCCTTGGAAACCTACAGGGCAGTGCTTCTCTGCCCTGCAGGGCAGCTGTGTGTCAGAACTAACTCCATGGGACACAACCACAGCTTTACCAGACTCAACACACTTCCCATGATTTAAAAAAAAGACCCAAGGGAAAAATAACTCAGAGCCCAGGACTGCCAGCCCATCGCGTCCTTCCTGCCCTTCACTGGTTAATCAAGCACTGAAAGGCACCCTTGCTCTTGTCTAACAACTGGGGAGATCATTGGTGAAGGCAAGTGCCCAGAGTTCCGTGAGTGGACCCCATGATTTATGGTGCAACCATGAGCTCAGCTTCCCCTGCAGCCAGCCCTGTCCCTACACACACACACACACACATCCATCTCAAGGGGTCACCCACAGTGCTGTTCAATGCCACCTCCTCCTTGAAGCCCTCCAGGAGTCCATCATTTGCACCCCCACCTTAGCCTAAGCCAAGGCAACTCTTCCAGGGCCCACTGGGGCTACAGTAGCCGGCTGTTAAAGACTTCAGCTTCGGCACTTACGTTAGGTGTAATTACTCATTCAGCAGTCTGTTTCCTATAACAAGCTCATCTGTGATCCAAGATGCATTAACCAGGAACAGGCCACGGGATTGCAAGTCAACACAACTGCTCTGAGAAAAGGTGCCAGAGGCCCCAGGGCCTAATGTCCCCACATTATGCACCTGCAACTAGCTGGTCCAGCGCAAGGCCTGCCAAGCCCTTCTAGGCATTGAAAGCCATAAAAACGGAGTGGTCCTCTGACAGCAGTTTCACGGCTGCCGAGTGCTCCTTAGGATAAACCAGGAAATCACAAGTTTAGCGCCCAGAGTCTCCCTGGCTTCTAACAGTAAGAAAAAACTAAAAACAACAACAAAAGCTCAACATCTAACCACACAGGGGTGCCCGGGGCCTCCAGAGTATTAGCAATGCAGAGTGGCTATTAAGCACAACTGTGTCCACCTCGGGTCATTTCATCCTCACTTACCACCTGCAACACAGTATAATTAGTCCCATTTAACGGCGGGGAAGACTGAGGAGCAGAGACGATGACAGTAAGCGCTATGAGACACTGAGTGCAGGGGTTCTTTCTCAGTGCTGTCTGCACGTTATTTTAGTTCCTCCTCACAGAGCAGGCAGCTGCTCTGACAACCTCCTTTAACTAATGGGACGCAGGGATGTTAAGTCACGTATTCATGGCCACAGTCCTGATGACTCCACGCTCCTGCCGCTGCCCCCCCCACCCCCTGGTCCCTGCTTCAGGTCACTCTGCAGCCAGGGGTCCTAGGGGACACTTTCTACCACGAGATGCCAGTCCTCTGCTAGGACTTGGAGCTCCCTCTGGTCTAGCCACTTCTCAGACCATCCCTTGTCAGTGCCACTCCCCTGGGTGTGAGCCTGGTGTTTGGCACGGTCCCATCCCATTTGACCCAGCTCTGACAACCACAGTGACACTGGTCATATACAAAACGTCCAGGGCATGCATGATGCTAAGAGGAAAAGCAAGACAGCAGAGCGGGCTTTGCATCTGATCAGCACTAGAGTGAACACATGGAGCCTTGAAGGACACGCAGCCGCATCACTAAAGAGGGTTTCCAGTGTGCCCTCTCCCTCCTCTTCTACATCTCCCCATGATGATGCTACCAGCCTGCATGGCTCCTAGAAACTTGACCAGGCTGGCTGAAAAACGCACAGAGGGATCATGGGAATCTGGACTTACGTAAGAGTCGTTCAGGAGCCAAAGGAAAACAAGGCTTCCCTGGGCCCCGCAGACCTCTGCAGGCAGAGCTGAGAGACACAGGCTGGAGGCTGGAGCGAGCCCAGCAGGCGGACGTGGCCCCCTCACTCACCCAGGCAGTTGTGTCCGTCGTGAGCCAACATGAAGCCGTCGAAGCAGGTGCACCTGTAGTTCCCGGGGATGTTGATGCACTCATGGACACAGCCTCCATTGTAGTAATCATTCTCACACTCGTCAATGTCTGCAAAATGAGGGGTTCAAGAGGCATCAGAGAGAGATCCTGGCACCCCCACACCCAGTGGCCTGTGCCCTCACTGCTGGAGTCACCAGGATGTGAGTGGTGAAGGGGTGACTCAACAGCCATGCACTGGAGTCCCTTCTGGTGGCTGGAGACCCAAGGGTTAGCAGGATGGTGATCCTGGCTCTGTGGCAGGGCTGGCCTCCAGAGCAGGGCGTGCGGGAGCCTTCCCTCCACAGTGCACCCACAGGGAAGGTCTGTTCAAGCCCTGATGTGTCTCCCTGGAGAATCTCCCAACACTAAGTGTGCAAGGATCCAGGCAACCTGAAAGCCCCTTAGAAATGGGGTGGTCATACGGGAGCTCTGGTGGCCTGGTGGCAAGAGGAGGTACCAGAGGTACGCGGTTTGAATCCACCAGATGCTCTGCTGGAGAAGGAGGGCCAATCTCCTGTACCAGTCAGATTCTATTTGACCGTACACACAGATCATCATCATCATCATCATCAAGAAATGGGTGGTCACTACTTGTGCAGCAGGGAATACCCAGTAAAATGAACTTTGCAGACAGGCAGGAATGACAACCTTCTACAAAAATGCAAGGTCTGGAATGAACCGAAGAAAAGCCCATCTATTCTCCCGAATAGTTTCTTTCTGCATCAGCATCTGCAGCCTGGATTTCTATTGCTCAGTTCCCGGCTCTAACAAAGCCTTCTGTCCCGTAGACAATGGCCGGTGGCCTTTGGAAAGGTCACCCTTTTTGCTGTTTTAATGCTTTTCCAACATTTCTTATCAGCGGCCAAAGCCATATCGGTTCTGGAGTTACAGGAAGACTGGACAGCGTGGGGAATCACAGGGATGCCCGTTAACACTCAGCGAGCGGCTTCGATGACCAAGACCAGCTCGCTCCCGGCACGACCACCCCAGTGCAGTGGGCTCATGCCATCCATCACTGCAGGGTTCCAAGTTACTGTTATGTGCCCGCGTGTCAGAACTGACCCACAGCTGACCCTCCAGCGGGTTTTCTGAGGGAGTAAATTGCATGGGAAGACACGACTGCCCAAACTTTCTCCCACAGGTTCGAGGTGGATTCAAACCACGCACGTTTGGGATTGTAGTGCAGTTTCTAACCAGAGAAACTGAGGCCCAAGCAGCTTAAACATTGTCAAAGGCTACATATTCCGGAAGTGGAACAAGAAGGATTGGAACCCCAGTCTGGTTGTAGACCCCCGGGGCCCACTTTGTCTCTGAATGGGGAGCACAGAGTTTCTGGGAGCAGGGGGAGCCGGTCAGCGGCCTGGGGCTCATTCTTTCTTGTGGCTGGGGTAGGAGACGCCCCAATATTAACACAGGGGGTGCCCACCTCAACCAGCGTGAGAAGTCACCCGACCCCCTCCCACATCCACACAATCTGGGAGGCAAAGAAAATGCGCCTTTGCAGAACAGAGCCGGAAGTGGCAGCAGGCGACCAAGTCAGACGGGAGGGCTTGAGGCTGGGTTCCACGGCCAAAAATAGAGACAGATCAGCCAGGAAAAGGGAGTATCCCGAGTGCGAGTCACGGCCCTTCAAATACCTGAGATGCTGGTGCAGAGACGGTGGGGCTTGGGGCTAGATCGCTCCCCTGTGGGGACAAGGGCCCTGGGCTGGGGCTGAGAAGCGCTTAGTAGGGAGGAAGGTCTCCTTAGTAGGGGGTCCACTCATGTTCGCCAGAGGAACAGCAAGCAGGAAGGCAGAGACTGCCTCACAAAGTAACGGGCAGCCTGCCTAAGGGACTAAGCACTGCCTCCACACCCCCGTTAGAGGTGCTGCCAATGGGAGAGGAGTGTAGTTAATGAAGCCACATCCAAGATGCTACAGGGTCTGGGCTGCGCAAACCCCTTCATGCAGAGCGCCCACAAAGTGGCCTGCGTTTCCAAAGACTCAGGAGGTGGGAGACTTCCCCCAGCTCACCTGCAAAGGTCATGTGCATTGGGCAGTTGTCCAGGGCTGGGAAGGAGACCCAATCAGCCGCTCATCAGAATTGTTTTTAATATGATATTTCAGGTAGTCAGGAGTTTTCAATCACATTAAATGGGGATAGGAGATTTTTGTTCTTACTGAAAGAGCATGAAGATAATACAAGGAAGGCTACCTATCAGTGGCTAGTTTCTGTTTCTAGTGCTGACTTCCATCGCCGTCCTGGACACACCTATTGCACGCATCTCCCATGCTCTCAAGATACTATAAAGCAAAGTGGCCCAACTGCAACCCCCAACTTCGCTCAGCTCACCCTTCCCTGAGGTTCACCGTCTGAGTGAATGTTGTTCTTCTGTCTCTCCCCGACGGCTCATCATTGGCCCAAGTGTGAGTTTTCTACGCCCTCAGCGTGGTCCTGGCCTGCCCCTTCCCACTGCCTTCCAGTCTCACCGTCACCTCTCACCTGACCTGACCTGGCAGCTTTTAACTCTTTATTAGAAAAGGGGACTCAGGGGAAGTTGGTAAGTCTCAAACCCAGGAATGGAACCCAGTCAATCTATTCCAAACAGCACGTAATTGGTGCTTGATTAGTATTGACAACTGCTGTTGGCTCAAGAGTGGGCATGTGACTTGGGTTGTATCATTCAGACCAAGGAGAAAGACTCATGTTCCATGTTTGGGTAAAATACTCCTTTTCTTAAGCAGCATCTCAACAAGTATGCACATATTTATCCTTGAAACAGATATCCATATTTTCATTCTTACAGAAATCCTCTACAGTAGGTATTTGTAAAACCCTTGATCATCGCACAAACTAAAATGAGGAGATAGTAATCATTAAAGGTTACATAGTGGCTGGCAAGGATCAGAACAAAGGTCTTTGAGTTGAGGAAGCCCACACTCTTAATAAGTAAGGATATTCGTGACATACAAGACACTGGCCAAATCCATGCTACTTTATTCTTTGTGCTTTTACACTGTGCACCGAGAAAGTACTATCCAATTGTCCAAACCCTCATTCATCTTTCTGTTAAATCTTCACCATCCATTCACACATAAACATCCAAACACATACCCGTCCAACTACCCAAATACTCAGCCAGTCTTTCAGCCAATCATTCACACATTCATAACACCTGGCAATCCATCTGTTAGCCACCACCACCCCATAACCTAGCCGTGAAAATACCTTCCCAGTCATCTTTACACGTATCCGCTCATACTAAGATCTATCCAACTGTCAAGTCAGCTGGCTACCTTTCTATTCATCCAATTACCCATTGACCCATTTAAATGCTTACCAATTCGTCTATTTAGCGAAACATGAAAGGATAAAATATTCATCCATTCTTTCAACTAGTGTCACTCTTCCTACTGGGCTTAACCATATGTCCGTCTCTTTTTTGATTCACAGCCATCCAGCTACACACACACACACACACACACACACACACACACACACACCCTCACCCATCTATCCATTTTCCTTTGAAATATCTATCCACTCATTAATCTACACAGCCCAAACCAAAACATCTGTTCATCTGTGTTTAAACTCTGTTCATCTGTCTATCCATTTCTTCAAACCCATTCATCTAGGTTATAAAATATACACAATAATATAACCAGCAAGAAGAATTTAGGACAAAGGTGGGGAGAAAGCTAGAAGAATGGAAGGATATGATGAAGCTAGTGACAGTATATATGCAGAAATGCAGTCACAAAGTACAATTAAAAAAGTAGGCTACAAATAAGGCTTGAGCATCCTAGAATCCAAGATGTAGAAGAAAATACTATGCATTACAGATACACCACATTCATAAAGTGAAATTTAGCTATGTCCTTTTTTAGTGGTTAAGTGAGAAAAATGTCTCTGTTATGAGGATAATGTTTCAGCTAGTCTGGCATTGTTGTGTTGGGGCGTAATTGTAAATAGCACTCTTTCCACTATCAAAATGACAAATCATTTGATCACTGTAAATATATTATAATGGAATGTGCAGAGAGCTGGAATTGGAGAATAATAAGGGAAGAATTCACTCTGCATTTCTCAAGCTGAAAGCTGAAAAACAAATTGAAGGCTCATATCAAAATATTGAAAGATGCTATGGGAAATACATTGAATGACCCAGAAATCATCAAAAGAAGATGAGGGGG